GGATTAATGGGTGTAGCGTGAGCACTGGTAGTCCCTTCACTGGGAGAAGTAAGATCTGTACCGTAAAATGTATTAGAAGCTGCAGGACAAATCGTAGTGAGAGCTGCACCACTGGCTGAAATAGGAACTCTGGGAAACACCACTATAGAAGGCGCTATTATAGGAGCTGTGGTAGTTTCAACGGGAGGAGCTGTGATGGGAAGTCTTTATGGGGACCTGTAGTGAGAGCTATGCTGCCGGTTCTTACAACGTATGTGCCGCGAGGTGAAGTAAGAGCTGAATTGGAATTTGTCCTTTGGCTGTATTGCCGCGTGTACTACGAGGGTTAGAGGGCGCTGCAGTGGATGCTGTAGTAAGAAATGTACTAATAACCGTGTTGTTGTAGGATGTGCGTATGAGGGTGTCGAGTAGACTATAATCACATTTTTACTACTCGCTGAAGTAAAATATCTACTTGTTTCTGCACTCGGACCACTGGTAAGATCGAAAACAAGAATTCGGAGGCGACCTATAGTAAGAGCTGTACATGTGGCTGTGTGTCTTAGTAGCTGTAGCGAGAGGTGTGACAGGGGCTTTGGTAAGAGCTACGCGTGCTACTGGACGTATTAGGTGCAACCATAAAATGTGTAGCCAGAGCTGTAGCAGGAGCTGGGGTAGGATCTGCAAGAGGAGCTGAAGTAAGAGCTGTCACTGGAAGTGGAGTACGACCTGTAGCGACGGCTGTGCTACTGGCTGTGGTCGCAGCTGCAGTTGGACTCGAAGTAAGACCTGCAGTGGAAACTGTACCTGGCTGCGCTAACAACTTGACTGCGACCTGTAATAGGAAATGTCGTAAACAACTGTAATAAGAACTGTGCTAATAACGACAACGACATCCGTACCACTGGATGTGCTACATCTGTATGGGGGTCTGGCGTAAAAACTGAAACGCAACAACGTGTAATTGGACTGGAACTGCTGTAAGAACTGTCGTGCGACTTGTTGTTTACAAGCGGTAGTAGGACCGTGGCAAATTCCTGACAGATGTAGCCGTACATGGAATGAGAACTTTACTACTCGTTGCACTAGGAACTGTAGTAAGGACTGTAGTAAACACTGGGGTTGGACCTTTGGTAAGAGCTCTAGTAAGAAGAACCCGCGCAGCCCTTGCATCATCCGGATGGTCCCTCAAACAATTCAACATACCTTCACGACTTCTGATTCACCCCCCCAAAGAAAAAAACGGAACAACACACCACAAGAGCTCCGCGCAGGGTCCAAAGGTGCCCGGAGGGCCGGATGGACCCCGCAAAAATGAAGGACCCCTTCAGGCCCCAAGGGGGGCCCCGAGTTGGGTCCCCGTTGCTGTTGCTGTGGGCGGGGGGGGGGAAGCGGAGGGCAGTGCGCCAGTGAGTGTTTTCGTTGACAGCATGAGCAACACAACACACCACAACAAAAAATAGCACAACCAAGAAAACATTGGCACCATGGAGCCCCGCTTCGGCCACGCATCCAAGGGTAGTGTAGGAACGCTCGGACCCCTCACTCTGATATGGCTCCTTCGATGTTGTACGCGTCAGAAGGGCTCTGTATTGGAACGGCGGTCATAGCAAACACGGGGTGTCACATAGCCCCGTTGGTCACGGAGCCAACACGGGGTCACACCAGCCCGGCTGGGCTCCCGAGGGTTCCTCCCCAAGGCTCCCGAGAAGGGTCACACCCCATGACGCCAACACGGGTGTGTGACTGCCGCAAGTTGGCAACGCTACAAAATGGGCGCGGCGATATCCTCATATCGATGGCTCCATCGGAAGCCCCCAGAGCGTTGCAGGCTTGGGCCTCAGAGTGCAGCGAACTGCTCGACCCCGTGGTGGCGAGCTGCTGGATCGCCGACTGTCACTAGCCACATTGACCATCCGAGACTCTATGAAACCAAACTGATGGATCAATCTTGCAGATGATCGCGTCAAAAATCTGGTCTCCGCGGTGACCATCGGCACGCCATCGGAATTCTCGATCCTCCTGCTTGTTTCTCCCCCTCCTCTGTCTAGAGCGGAAGGACGGGCCGCCAATCCCGCGTCCCTGACGGGGTTCTGTGAAAGCGACCAACTTACGTCGTGGTTCACGCTCCTCGCGCAAGGTGGCCCAGGCCCGGGCCCTCTGGGCAACCGCGGTCCCCCTGGCGACGCTGTACGGCAGTTCCAGCTGTCAGGGCAAAGGCGAAGGCTCTCCTCCTCCTCCTCCTCCTCCTCCTCCTCCTCCTCCTCCTCCTCGTCCCACTTTGCCTGTCTTCGAATCGTCAGTTCTGGGCCAACTCCCCCTCTGCTCGCGGAGCTGGGGCGAGGGGCCAGGGGGCGTAAACTCAAAGATTGGCCCACCTCGATGCGAGGCTCCTGCCCCCCAGGCTTTCCTTCGGCCGCTGACGTCGCGATGACGACGGCGTTTGTTTCTGACACTGCGTGGATCGTTCAGCCTTGAACGGTCGCGGTTTTCCGATAGCGCAGGTCGTTCGAGATCGACCGATTTTGAGCCTCTGGCAGCGTTCAACTTTGAACGCCCGCGTCGCGGTCGCCGTCGCGTAGACACGGCGCGGATCTACCGTACTCCAGTTTTTCTTTTCACGTCATGGTGTGCGTGTGTGTGTGTGTGTGTGTGTGTGTGTGAAGGTGGCGCATGCGGTAAGGTATTTGGCTACTCTCGGCAGAAACATGATCAACAAAAACGCAGAACTCAAGCCATGGAGAGCGCAGACTGGCGTTTTGTTTTGCGCATTTGCAGAGTCACTTCAATAACACCAGTCTGGCTTGATAGCGAAATCTGCTTTGATGGCCGATATGCCGAAGGCATACCTACAGTACCCTTCTGACTCCTCAGGGTACATCGATTAAGTCGTGCACTGCGCCATTGGTGCGTCCAGTCTCGGCGTGCACGAGGAATTTATATTTCACAAAGAAGGGGCTGGTCGCCTACGCGTCTGGATCAACCGCTGGACACCGAAGTATGGCTACAGGACAGACAATATCTACGCGATCTTTGTCGTCGCAAAACGGTGACGTGCAATGGCCAATCCCTCCCTGTGCATATGCGCCGACGACATTCCCCTCCCTCCGGTCAGGAAGCTGTTTTTCCCAACCATCCTGTGGTGTTGGGTCATCGTTTTGAAGAGACGGATTCTTTCCTTCCTTCCTTCCTTCTTTCTTTCCTCCTCCTCCCCTCCTCCCTGCACCGCCCGCATGCGTCACGCACACCCATTTCGGCACACTCCTCACACGTTTCGTGGCCCCATTCCACCGAAGACCCCAATGCCACCGCCGGCGTGCGTCACGCACACCGGTTTCGGCACACCCCTCACGCGTTTCGTGGTCCTAAAAAGAGCTCCACCGAAGGCCGCAGTGCCACCGCCCGCATGCGTCACGCACACCCATTTCGGCACACCCCTCACACGTTACGTGGCCGCACAGGGAGCTCCACCGATGGCCCCAGTGACACCGCCCGCATGCGTCACGCACACCCATTTCGGCACACACGTTTCGTGGCCCCACAGGGAGCTCCACCGAAGGCCCCAGTGACACCGCCCGCACGCCCATTTGGGCACACCCCTCACACGTTTCGTGGCCCCACAGGGATCTCCACAGAAGGTCTCAGTGCCACCGCCCGCATGCGTCACGCACACCGATGTCGGCACACCTCTCACACGTTTCGTGGCCCCATAGGGAGCTCCACCGATGGCCCCAGTGCCACCGCCCGCATGCGTCACGCACACCCACCCCTCACACGTTTCGTGGCCCTACAAGGAGCTCCACCGAAGGCCCCAGTGCCACCGCCCGCATGCGTCACGGGCACACCCCTCATACGTTTCGTGGCCCCACAGGGAGCTCCACCGAAGGCGCCAATGGCTGCGTTCGCATGTGCCCACCGCGCCCATTCCGACATACCCCTCACACGCTTCGCAGCACCTCAGGGAACTCCACCGACGGCCCCAATTGCTGCGTTTGCATGCGCCCACCACACCTATTTCGGCACACCTCTCACGTTTTGCGGCCCCATAAGGAATTCCACCGACGGCCCCAGTGGCTGCTTTCGCATGCGCCCACCAGACAAATTTTGGCACACCCCTCACACGTTTCGTGGCCCTATAGGGAGCTCGCGGTGCATACAACGACGGTGCTCATAACTGCATATGGTTGGGTCCTTCGCCAAACTGATTTCGCAACCTTCCTACGCTGGGTCCTCGTTTTGAACGGAGCAATGTTGTTTCCGTACTTCTCCTCCCGCCTCTTTCCTCCTCCTCTTGTCTCCTCCCTGCCTCCTACCACTTATGCGCCTCGCCATCCGTGGGGGGCTGAGAACTGCTAAACTGTCGTCTCTTTCGAGGGCTGCCTGGGGGTCCAGCGGAGTGACGTCCTACGTGGTCCAGATTAGACCTCGCATCCCTGGGGGCTGCGAGCTGCAAAACTGTCGCCACTTTCGAAGGATGCTTGGGGGTTCAGCGGAGGCGGGCCCCTGGAGGACCTTGGTGCTGTCTGGACGCTGGAAGCGTAAAGCTGGGGCCCACACAAGAGTGACATGTTGCAGGCAGCCTGCCTCCCCAAACCATGAGCCCACAAGACACGTGCCCGTGGGGGCGTATAGATCTCCGCCAACTTCTGCAGGCGGACCTGCCCTGACTTTCTACCGACATAAGACGAAGCTAGAACGGGGACAACATCGGAACGGGACCGTCGGGGATCTCTGAGATCTGATGGTTCTGGAAGATACATCGGGCCCCGCGGCCGTTCCAAAACGCTCATCGCTCTGAGAACGTTCCGGAAAACTCTGGAACGATTGATCCTGGTCCTAGCCCCACCCGGTTGCACCCCCATCCGCCCACTTCCGCCGAAGAAGAGGAGCCAACTCATCGGTTCCTGGAACATCGGAATCCTTTTTGGAGCGCCCCGTGCCGCCCCGACGCGGAGCCCAAAGGCGCCTCCCCAGGGCGCCCCAAGCCCTCGCTGGCTGGCTGCCCCGTCTGGGGCCCGCGCCCAATCGGGGTCGCCGAGGTACGCGCCGCCTCGGTGATGCGTCCCGCTTCGGCGGTTCGAAGATGGGGCCTTTCAGGAAAGGGATCTCGAGCTGAACTGTCACTGTTTGAGGCCACTCGTCCTCAGGGCCCCATCCCTCAGGGCCCCACCTTTGAACCGCAGACCGCTTGGAGGTTGGAGGAGAGGATCGGGGGGGGTATGCTGGAGAGCTGAGGATGGATGGCTGGACGGATGGATGGTTGGCGGGATGCGTGCGGACGCGAAAAGGTGCCTGGCACTAGCCACCCTGCGGATGGGTCGTTACATGGACGCATGGGATGGGCCGAAAGGATAGGGATGGATCCTGCAGACGCGCGCTGGGAGGTAAGTATGGATGGTTGGACGGATGGGCGGATGGATTCCTCCTCGATCATCAAGGTTCGGGGAGAACGGTTCTCGGGCGCTTTTGGTAAATACTACTTTCTGGGTCTCTAGATGCCTCTTGGGACTGCCTAGACCTTATGAAGACCTCCAACATCTCGCGTACGCACATGGATGGCTCGCACCAACTACCCTGCGCTGACGCTGCAGCCCCACTCGGCGGTGTCACGCGCACCTGTCCTAGGGTGCTTCCGTCCTTCCCTTCCCCTTGCAATTTGCCTTTCTGCCTTTACCCTCTTTTTCATGCATCGGTTCCATTCCACTTTGACGCGTCCCATCGATGGCTTACCAGTGCGGAGTTCTCCGCTGCCTGCTGACAAACAAAAATGGATGGATGTCTCAAGTAGGCAGGAGTGACCGTGCCCCAATGCGCCCCTAACTTTTCACGACGCTTTGACATACCCGGGGCTCCCTGGGCGTCGTGATGGGTGTTCTGGAGGCCACCGGAGCGACGAAGAGGAACGGGTCAAGACGGTATGACGACCTTGAGGGGTGGCTTATGCGGGCCGCTACCGCGGCACTCCGCGTGGAGAAAGGGGCGCAGGAAGAAACGGATTAGCAGTTGTCTGTTGACATCCCGCACCACAGATCCACGGACAGCCCTGCATTAGAAGTGTAACGAGGGCAGGCCAGAGGAATAGGAGGATGAGGAAGAGGAGTGGGGGGAGAAAAAGGAAGAGGAAGAAGAGGAGGAGGAACGACAGTAGCTTCAGCGGATTCCTATCAGCTTCAGGCGGCGCATAGTGCGCGGCACGGGGCAGCTTAGGATCAGAAGCTTAGGTGGTTGAAAGCAACCTTCATGAGCCTGCGGTGCGTGGCGTAGCAGTCCTTCTTGGTAGAATCATGATTCTTCGACTCCATATAGACGTAGTACGCCAGCACGAGCATCTTGACAGTCATCATGGGAGAATTCTCGGCTGACTCTCTAGTTCGTAGAGCTCACCGATGCCGATGCGGCGCACATGGAAAAACGAGATGGTGATTGAGCCGTGGGCAATTCAAGTAGTGGCCGATGCTGTCAAGCTCTTCGTGGCAACCTACGAAGCATGTGGACCTGAGTTGAACCGTGCATCCGCAGGCGGCTGACACACCTCCAGGCACGGGTCACTTCACGTAGGTGATCTCTCAGGCGGCGCCATCGACGTTGAAGGAGCCCAAGAGGCACGCGTACCTGAAACCAACTCTCGGTTGCTTGGCAATCGTGATCGTCAACGAGTCCGAGTGCCAGTGGTCGTCGAGTTGGCGAATGGACACTCGTCGAGGTTTCGTGCGACGACCTTCATTTACAGCAATTGGCAATTTGCTCTGCAGCTTCAACGGCGACACGAAGGCCACGATGGAGTTTGCACGTGCTTCGCATTCGTGATGTGGAAGTAGCTCTGGACGATCGCCTTCGGGCCTTTCCAGAACGCAAGCGACCATCGGCCCATTGCCCTGTCAACCACGTTACGGTACCTCGCAGCTTCGTCGTAGAACTTGTGGTAGAGAGCCTGCCAGTTCGCGATTGTGTACGACGCGGCCCTCCAAAGCGTGCCGGCTGTGTAAGCCAGGAGCGACCGCGGTGTAGCGCCTGACGCCCAACTACTGAACGAGAGCATGTCCTGCTTTCTGAAAGTACTGGGTGACATTCGCAGGAATGTTGTCAAACGTGGAGTTCCTTCGTAGAAATGGACTTCGGGAGCTCGTGGAACCGTGCAGGGTGTCCAAACGCTGTGATCGCAAATGCGTGGTAAATGCGCGCGTTCGCGTCGATGGGGGACGCTGGGCTCCTGGTTTCAACATCTCAAGACCAAGACTTAGGTCCATCGTCCGCCATTGAAGATCAACTTCCCGCCTGGGCCCACCAAAACATCAAATACTTGCTCTTGCCCTCGATCGAGAAGCTGGCCCAGGCTGGAATTTCGGCCCGAAGAAAACCTTGACTGAAGCTCTTCGCGTTGGCGTCGATGGGCGCCCACAGAGAAGTAAAGACGCGCTTCTTGATGTGTAGCCTCAGGTGCCCGAAGCGCTCCACGCAGTGAAAGACGGTGGCCAGCTCTGGAAGCGTCGACAACCGAAGAAATATCACGGCGAGGTCGTCCGCACGCTCACCTGCGTGTCCACTGGCCTCATCTGGAACCGCATCAACAAACGACTTTAACGATTGCGTCGATGCCCGTGGCCCAGAAAGCGGGCGCCCTTGGGCCACGCCCGCGTCGAGCGGGCACGAGAAGTGGAGCTGGCCATCGAGAGTGGTGAAGCCGATGGAGTTCTGGTAGGAGGCCTCGACGTCGCGGAGCACTCCAAGCCGTGGCTCGAAGGGCCTCGGCGCGTAGAAGGGATACCTACTGTTTCCCCAAGCTCGGGCAAGCCGCAGCTGTCGAAGAGCAACAATGATGGCTTGTCTGACATGGACTTGGAGGGACGTCCCGCGATTCTGTCCCTGGACCCTAGCCACTTCCTCCCTCGTGAAAATCTCCGTTGAAGGATGTGCGCGAACTGCTCGACCTGCTTGCGGACAATGCGGTTGACCGTCGCCGCGAAAATCTGCGAGTCAGTGTTCTTGCGCGTGATGGGTCTTAGGTTGCCGGCCTCTCTGGCGCAGGTAATAGTGCTAGCGTCGTCCATGCCCTTCGGGATGAAGGAGAAGATGGAGGAGTTGAAGCTGTGAGGGAAGGTGCCAGTCTCGTGGCAATGCCATGTCAGCTCCTCCAGGACCTCCGTGGCCCTGGGGGTCTCCGCCCAGGCACGATGCGGAGGCGTGTCGGGTCCAGGCGCAGACGCGCGAGCATGGGGGGCGACGTGCCGAAACGAGGCCGCCGACGGGATGGACATGCCGAGCGATGCAATGTCCTTCGGGAGATGCTGGTCCATGTGCTGCTCCATAGCCGTCTGGTCGACCTGCTTGCCCTCGAAGATCGGCAACCAATGGGGCCCTGATGCCTGCAGCTGGTCCAACGGCTGGGTGGCAATCGTAATAGTGCCGCTGTTTATGATCGGCAAACGATTCCCAACCAGCGTCAGCACCCCGGCAAGCGGTGCCCACGCTCGACTCCGTCGTTGAAGGGATTGGGACTGATTGCGTTGGTACTCAACTTCAAATCGGCGACGTTTGACGACAACCCGTGGCGCTTAGAGCAACCGCATTGATGGCTACCGCAACATGTGTCGTGAAGTTTGGGTACGCACGAGGATTTGAGTGAGGCTGCATAAGATACAATCGATTCTCGTGGCCTTCTCCGAATGCCTGTCGTATCGCGTCGGCTCGTTGCTGCTCAGCTCCCTCATCGAGGCGAAGAGTCTGCGCCAACATATCGTGGTGCTAGTCACCACCGATAGCCTGCATGAGCATGGGCTGGACTCTGCGAAAGGAGCTGGGGGCTCGTCGTGGATGTTGAAAACGCTCAGCGCGATGAAGACTGCTTTCGTGGGCGAGCGACGGGCCCGCTCCTGGTAGCGAATTCAAGCTTGGCGTGCATGGGTGCGTTGCTCAGAGGCGAACTCGTAGTTCTTAGCGTTGAGGAAGACTTCCGTGCACCTGCTCAGGTCGCTGACGACTTCGTCGAATATTACGCGCCCAGGTACCACCTCACGAAACGAAACGAAACGAAACCGCCGTCGCCGGGAAGGGCCGGCGTCCCTGCAAGGGAGGCAGGCGCACCTGTAGCGCGCTGGCCCTCTGAGAGGACCGGGAACATGCTGCAACCTCACGATGAATAGTAATAGTAATAATAAGAAGAGGCCATAGCGAAACAGCGTGAATATGCCCTGGGCAAATCGGCTCCCGTGCGCCTTGGGGCGGAGTCTGAATCTCCTGTGCAAGACGTAATCAGCTGGCCGTCGCGAAAGCAACCGATGGAGAAGAAGCTGGCGCCGCCGGCGGATGCGCGGCCCGCGCTGCACAGTTTGCGGCGAAATTGCCGTTTTTTCCAAACGAATCGTCGTAAAGTGTCTGGCCGCTGGCCTCCGTGGGGTACTCCTGCTCGGCTTGGAACATCAGGTTGAAATTGTTGCTGTGCTTCTTGACTGCCCGATGGGCCTCCGCGTGCCCCTGCTCCCCTCTTGGGGCGGAGGCTAGATCTCCTGTGCCCCGTCTCCCATCGCCAGGGGCAGAGGCTGAATCTCCTGTGCCCTCAGAGGCCCGATCCCTTAGCGAGGCTGGTGGTCTGGGCCCGGCCCGAGATGCTCAGGGGCGCGCCCATCTGCATGGCCAGGCCAGGGAGAGGTCGGGCCACTCCTTGGCCTTCACGAGCTGAAGGTAAGCGGAAGGGTGCTAAAGTATCCACGAGGAGCCAACCTCGGAGTTGCCCGTAAAAAAGGCTCGACGAAGTGAGAATTCCCTTTCCTTCGCTCCTTGGCTCTGACGGTCGAGGGCCTCGATCAGGTCCGCGCGCTGCTGAGCGCCCATCGGCCATGCTTCCGTGCAGATCTCCTCGGCGTAGCGTTGGAGCAAATAGGGGTCGGGGTCCTTGTCGGCGTCCGTGAAGAGGTGGTTGAAGGATGTGGCGTGCAACTGGGTCTTGACAAACAATATGCGCCACGCAAGCCAATCTTGAATCTTGATAATCACGACATGTTCATCTTGTCTCAGAATGCGTGGTACCAATTGCTCGGAAATGGGCGGCTCCAC